AAAAGTCAGAGACTGCACTGACTGGTCTTTTTCAAATGCAGTCATCATTTTTTTCTTACAAGCTCAGTATTCAATGATTAAGACAAAGGTTGGGTCACAGGCTACACAGCATGAGGGTAGCTGTCCATGGATAAACTGTAGAAGTTACAGGACATAAGAACACATAAGAATGCTTGGACAGAATTTCAGTAAGATGTTCAGCTTTAGTTTGCATTACTTTCAGGACGCAAAGCTTCTGTTTTGGACACAGAGCAAAAATTAAAGTCCATGGTTTAAAACTACCTGGATGAAAATGCAGAATCAAAAAACAAATAAAGAAAAAGAATGTACATTCATGCTGCACCATGGACACTCAGGTTTATCAAACTTTGTACCTTGAGTCGAGCTTCTACTGAAGCCTTCTTACGTGCTTCCCTCCTGCGATACTGCTCCACTTTATCCAGCTGATCAGGACGCTGAAGCATTCCCGCTACTCTCTGAACAGCTGTTGCAACTGCTTCCCTATCCGTCTCCTCCATTGTTGATTAGGACCTCAAAATGCCTTCATAATTTAACAGTACTGAAAAGAAATGTAACGTTTTTAGAAAATATTTTTTTCATTTGATGGCTACGTATCATTTCAAAGTTAACAACTGGAGAACTAACTTTGGCAAGAAAAACAGTGCCACTTGACAAAAACATCATCAGACCCCATTATAAAGAGTGGTAATCAGAATTCTACAAGAATCACATTTAAAGTCACTTAACTCTGTTTCATTAGTTTACCTGAAATCTTCTCTGGTTACTGTCTTTGGATTTACCTTGCTCTCTGTAACTTTGTATCAAAAAAAAAAAAAAAAAAAAAGACTACAACAACAAAAGAACAGCAAATCTTCATTTAAAAACCAGACTATTTCCAATCCTAGAGTAGGTTTGGCTATTCAAAGGAGAATGAGACCTGCATAGAGGAATCTCTTCCTGAACTAGAATCTGCTGGAGCTGAGAGAACTACAGTCCCCCTGCTATAGGGGGGTCAGGTCAAATTTGTTACCAAAAGTGGAGAGAAATATAGCTGTGGAAGCTCTAAACCCAGAGTCTTAACTATAAAGCACTTGCATTTAGACTTCTGATGGATAATGTCTTTATTTCCTGCTCTTGTTTTCAGTTTTTCTCATGGTATCAGTCTATCAGAGGTGTTGGTATGCAGGGATAAATTAATCAAGTATTTCACCTAACTTTCCAGCAGAATTTTTAGTGGTCAAGACATACATGCAAACTAGTATGCAGAAAAGGTAAAATTTGCTGGCCATCAAACCAGACCTGTTCTCTTAAGCTTCACTAGCTGCTAACAGAAAAGCAGGGAGGATCCCAGCCACCAAAGATGCAAGAACATGGCGTCCACAGAACTCCAAGGAACACATCTGGAGTTCCTCATTCCTTCCAAATTCTTTCCAACATTCTATGTCTTCAGTCTTGTAATTAAACAGAACATTTTAGGTTCTGCTGCCACAACTACAGATTATACTCTCTCGTATCCGTAGTATTCCTTGGAAGACGGTATCTACTTTCAAAGCAGACTTTATTCATATAAAGTCACTTAATCTCAACAGAATAGTAATCTGATGAAAAACCGTGCCAAGTGCACAGAACTGGAAGAGCAAAAGCGAGAAAACTCATGGGTTGAGAGAAAGGCAGTTTGATAGGTAAAGGAAAGTGGAAACACCCCCTGTTCCCCCACCAAAAAAAGCCCCAAAAGCAAGTGAAGCAAAGGAAATTGCTTACGACCTCCCATAGGCAAACTAATGCTCCAGACAGCCTCTAAGCAACAGCCACCCTGGAAGCCAACACACCCCCTCCCCCCCCCCCCCCCCCACACACACTTTTTCTTCCTCTACCCCATCTTTCATTGCTGAGCATGACATTATACGGTAGGGGATTTCCCTTTGGCCAGTTTGGGTCAGCTGTCCCAGCTGCATTCTCTCTCACCCTCTCACCCATCCCCAGCCTACTCAAGGGGAGTGGAGGGCAGAGTAGGAGTGTCACTGTGCGAGCACCCTTCAGTAGGAGCCAGACAGACTAGTGTGTTGTCAGCACTGGTTTAGCCCCAAATCCAAAACACAGCACCATACAGGACGCTATGAATAGTTTCCTCCATCCCAGACCGACTCAGTACAGCATTAGTAGAATTAGTCATTCTAGAATTTAATCAGGGTTAAAAAAGATTCCAGGCAAGGTTTGCCCAAGAGCTAGTCTGTAAAACCCTAAGTCTATGTCTCAAGTTCCTTCATCCAACATCTCAAGATCTGTATCTCTAGTATCTTCAAAAATTACATGCATAAGTATGCACTTATTCCAGAGTTATTTCTGCAGTGTAAACTACCTCCTCAGCTGTACAGTCATACCCATCGCTTCTCTACCAACAGCCTGTTTAGTTTGAATGGTGTCTGATTTCCTACTCTGCATCTCAAGGTTCAGAATCTACTCCTACCACTCACACTTTTGAATGAATACTCTGGTTTTACTTAGCCCAACCCATTTCCAAGCTATCAGGACTGTGTCTACAATTTTAAAAAATACGTTATTTTTAAATATGAATTTGCTACAGAAATAATAGCTACAATAGACAGCTTTATGCCGAATTACTGCCTTTATTAACAACTCTGAACACGTTCAGCAGTTACCATTGCTTTAACCCACACAGCCACTACCCAGGCACATTAAGTAGAGCTCACGGACAACTTTAGCTATCAGTATCCTGTAATCTCCCAACCGATTACACGCAGACTTGCTGAGGTAGGCAGGTTGTTGCACAACTACTGACCATTCAAAAGGAAGAGCAAACTTTAAGAAACCATGCCAACTTTACACAGAGCCTGTTAGCCAAAACCACAAACGTCTTCAGAGCAACACACTGGAAGAAGCGAACAAAAGCAAGTCCTGAGCAGTCCTGGAAGGGCTTCAGCTGCAAGCGCACCCTCATCCTCCGGGCTCAAGCTCCGGCCGGCAGCCCAGAAGCGAGCCAGCGGGGACGACAGGCTCACGGAGGGAGGCCCCCCCCTCCAGAAACGAGTTTCTAGGCTAAAGGCGCGCAGCGACACCCAGGTTTGGGGCACAACCCCTCAAAACAAAGCTCGGGGGAAACCGCGGCAGCCCCAGCTCCGCCCGGCAGCCCGGCTCCTCCCGGCCCCACTCCCTGACGGAGGTGCATCAACTCGAATTACTTGCACCGACGCAGGTGC